ATGTGTAGGGTAGATGGGGCAGCACACAGTATGAGCTTTGGCTTTCTTCAAGGCCTTGAAATTATAGCCGCTCATTCCCATCAGTGCCTTGATCCTATCCCACGCTGGCCTAGGCAGTTGAATGCTCTGGCTGGGCTTAATGGTACTGAGCGACAGTGCTGGGCATCAACAACAGTCTCTCTTTCTCAATTCTCCCAGCAGCCCCAAATGTACCACTTGGACATGGGGAACAAGAGAGCTCCCTGAGACGGAAGCAACAGCTGTCAAGCACCGCTCAGCAAAAAAACCAACAGGGTTTTCTTAGGACGGCTGTGCCCACCCACATCAAAGTTCACACATGAGTCAACAGCCCTTCCCAGTCAGTGGCATCGAAGGCTGCTGACGGAGCCCAGAGTATTGACGCTGTTCCCAATTCAGCCATAGCAGTTGAAAGGCCTTGCCCGAGCTAGTACCAAGAGTCATAGGGGGGCTGAGAGATCCAAGGACCCACAGCATTCAGAGTTGTCTTGACATCAGCTTTCCTACACACTTAGCCAAATGAGTTGCGAGGTGATGAGCAGAGGGATGGCTGATGGGAAGTGATGCTTTCTGGAGCGGTGGCTGCACAGATACATCCCCAAGGGGGCACTGACAAGCCATCGGTGGCCCCAACCTCATATCGTCCTTTAGATGTCATTGTTCAAAGTGACTTGAAGCCAAGACTTTCAATAGCGACTAGGGTTTCCCATTCAAGATGTCTGAGAAAGGGGCCCAGTTCTCAGAATGGGCTGAACACTTGTCCTTGCTAGCTGAGTTCCCTTTGAGGTGTTTCAAGAGGGACAATCGAAAACTGAGGCCGTTCCAGACACCTGGTTCACATCTTCAGCCTTTTGAACACGGTTCTAGAAGATACTGTCTCCTCCTGCCTCTCCACTCCCTTGGAGGCTGCATGTTAAACAGGCCCCCAGTGTTTTAAGGGTTTCCGGTGTTAGTCAAAAGTTCTGCTCATTTCGGTGAAATAGTTGCTAAGTAGCACTCCAGAAGCAGCTTTCATTTGCAAGTGACAGCCAGGGTTTAGGAATATCTATGCAAAAACCTCAGTGGCTGCTCTTTACAAAACTCATCACTGTGGTTTCACACCTTGTAGACTTAGCTCAGCCTTGACACTGCAGGATTCGGGGAAAGTATTAAGTAATGACTGAAGGTAGCAATTTTTTTTTCTCGTTTTTAAAGAGTTGCCCTCAATACAAGTGTTCACTTCAGAGGAAACTTTGAAGAAGTTGGGGAAATGTGGGTTCTTATCAAATGGTGGAGTCATGGGATCAGGAATTAGAAACACATTGGTGTGATTTCTGGATCCATCCTGGTGCCTGTCTACACTGCCTCCCGCTAGGGAATGCCACCAAGAAACATGCTCTCCCTGCTTCACCCATGCCAAATGCTACCCACCTGTCACTGAACGATTGTAAGTGCCGGGTGCACACTAGCTGGGGGTGGGAGAGGCATTGGGCATGCAGTGGGCCATGATAGCAGCTATGGTACATTTTTTCTGGCATCACACGTGGAGCAAGAGCTAGAGGGAGGGGCATGGTCTCATGCTGATGCTTCCTAGCCTGGTCAAAAGGCAGTGAAGACATGCCCACAAGCTTCCTCCGTGACATGTCACTTTATCTTGCCATGTCCCCACTTCCCACCAGTGGAGAAAGCTCTTTTTGTCTCTTAGGCCTGTCTAAATAGTTAACTTCTTGGGCTTGAGAGTGCCTCTAGACTAGATACGAATCCTCAAGTTTTGGAACAAGTCTTTGCAGAGCGCCTAGATCTGCACTGGTAAAGGGGTTAATTAAGTAAAAAAGGATCATAAATGCTGGTCAGGGAGTACCCTCAATGTATGTGTGTGTGTGCATACACTGATTAGGAAGATGGGCCCCTGAACCCCAACTGAGCAACATCGCATGGAAGGCAATGGGAGTCTCTTTCTACTGACTCCAGAAGTCTATGCATCCGGCAGTCTATTTTCTGTCATAATGGTAATAATGATGGTATTTGCCATTCTGTGATATATAAAACTAGCAACAGTCCCTTCCCCGAAACATCAGTGGACCAGACCAGGGACATAGAGAAAACAGGATGTTCTGGGGAATCCAGAGGCGGAGGTGACCCGGGGCTGAGGGCGTGGAGGAGCCTTTTTGCCTCCTATCAATTTTTCAACCTCACTTCCTGCAGCCCTCGCAAAGGACAGTGTTGTTCAAGAGGCTCTCGTGTGAAGAATGGGCTGGGGCTTGACTAATAAGGGCAGTGAGGTAATTATTTTCACATAGAAATAGCAAAGAAGATACCCTTGTCAGGTTGCTTGTGTGCAAAAGAATCGTGAAATGGAGTTGGTCACCACAAAAAGAGGCTGTTGTGATATTTAGGTTAACATCACCCATGATCACTCACTACAAGTGCTGTATATGTGCATTATAAGGGGCAGCCCCTACCCTAAAGATGTGATCTAGAGAGACAAGATGGACAAAAGAAGGATAGTCATTTCTACTTACTAGTTGGAGGGGGATGCCCTGAGACAAAGAACTTGCCCAGGGAAACTGGCAGAGTTCCTGAGTCCCAGCCCTATGCTTTAACCACACAGCCTTCCTGCCTTGTATTTTATTCTGTCAATATTAAGACTTCTGGCACTATTGGTGCACCTTGTTTTGCAGTACTAAATTTAGGAGCAGAGTGGTTTGGTGCGCTGCCCAAGGTCAGAGGCAGAGTTGGTGGCAGAGGTGTTTGTGCTTGTTACCAGCATTTGCATTTGCAGCTAACAACTCTGAGCCACACAGGACAGGATGCTGGAGAGTGGGTGTAGAGCTGAAACAAACTTCAGGCCCATCCTGAAAAGTGCTGAGCATTCCCTGCAAGGTACTGAGCATCTTTTACCCCTAGGGCCCTCAGGCAGAGTGGAGCAGAGCTCAGTTTGCTGCTGGCACCACTGATGCTCACACAGGATCTGACTCTTTTAGCTGAAGTGCAAAAGTCTGATAAATTTATAACATTTAACATAGTCTTTGTAAAACAATTTTAACAAAGACCAAACCCTCTGATTTACATTGTAGACAGCAGGTTCCCATGTTACAGCTAAGAGGACTTGGCTGTTTGCAACAGGTGCTCTTTATCTCTCTGGACCAGAGCCCCCACACCAATTATGAATACTGGGGACTTTGCTGGATTAGGCCAATGTTATTATCGTGGTGCCCAGAACCCGGCTGAACCCAGAGTCCCAGTGTGCTGGATGTTGTGCAGACAAGCAGGAGGAGGCTGCCTCTGCCTTCAGGAGCTTACAGTCTGATTTGACAAGCCAGGTGAAGGAAGGGTTTGTTACCCAATGTTACAATTGGGCATCAGAAGCATGGAGAGGTTTGAACCCCCTTGCCCAGGACTGGGTAGGAAGTGCACGGCAGGAATAAATGCAGATTTCCCAAGTCCCCGGCTAGTGCGTTAATTGCTAGAGTTCCCGTGCCTGCCAGAAGTGACAGGCTTGGCTTTCTCCCTAAGAGGATCAGGGTCTGGACACAAAAATCAGGGTCTGGACACAAAAATCTGTGCTGTGCAGCAGCCTGTCTGTATCAGTGAAGACAGACGGCTTTGGGGTGAAGAGCATGGTCAGTGAGAATACAACTGCACAAGACAGCTGGCCAAGATCCCCTGTTCCTAAGATCCCCTGTTCTTCCCACCCTTTTTGGCCAACCCAAGCATAGTGCCTGGGGAGTTTTGCCTGAGCAAGGATTACGAGTTATGCCTCTTGGATCATTGCTTATTTGGGGCTGACTTTCAATTGACTTTCTCTTTTTAAGGACCCATTTCATAGCATTTAGCCAGTATGTGCCAGTGGAAGCAGCTTGGGACATCATGGTACAGTTCAGAAAGCTCAAAGAAAGCTAGCTTGAAAATCAAATAATGGGGAGGAGGTGAAAGCCCCCCGTTACTGTCATAGTTCTGGTAGCATCAAAAAGCCCCAACAAAGATGGGGGCCCCATTGGGCCAGCTACCAAAAGAGCTGGTCCCTTTCCCAAGGTGCTTACGTTCTCATTAGACAAAAGGAGTATCACCATCCCCTTTGTACATGTAGTGAAATGAGATGTAGAGACATTATGTGGCTTGTCCAAAGTCACGCAAGGAGTAGGCAATAAAGCCCAGAACTGCACTTCAAATCAAGTCAGTCCTGAGGCTGCTGTGACCATCGGGGCACCTTAGCTGCTGTGCATCATTGGTGATTCTTTGGGCAAAGTGAACTGGTCTTTATGCATGGATGGCCATTGGTTCACAGGGGCCTCATCTGCCCTTTGAAAGGTCTTGCTTTTAGTTCACGTACCCTCCTCACCCAGGCTAGCCTAGGTTGGTGTGCCGGTTTAGTCGCTGACAACCTGACCATGGAACCAGCTGTGCTGGTTTACATGGGACCAGAGAGCAGGCCAAGAGAGGCCTGGCTTGGCAGAACTGCACTTGCCTCTCTTGATTTCTAGTTTTTGTCGTAACTACAAACCCATCCTTCCTCTCTCAGGAAAACAATGAGTTAATAAAGGCTCTTTTCCCTTGTTCTGAAACAATTAGTGTTTGACTGTTTCCAACCCTTTTACCACCTTCACTGAAATTCAATCACTTTACTCATGGATTCGTTTCCCTCATTTCTTTGAAGTCATTAGCCGTGAAATGTTTGTCCGCGAAAGGGAAAAAAAAGGGGTAATGCTCTAGAGTGTTTCGGGGCAAATATGAATACATGGAATAAGAATATTCAACTGACTCTGACAGAACAATAGGAAAAAGCCTGGAAGTGAGCAGCCGAAGAAAGTTTAAGCAACGTTTTTGTTGTGGGAGATGGTAGTGAACAAACCTCCCCACTACGAAGGGTTTTTTCCAGGAAGTGTGGGCTGTGACAATCTTGCATGCTTTAACTATCTTGAGTCGCATGTTACCAGGGTCAGTTCTTATGCTGCTCATGACTACAACTTTTGAAGAGGAAGCCTCAGCAACGTGAATACAGAATGAATGAACCTTATGCCCCAACGACACCTAGACCTACGAGTACCCGCTCATCAATCAGCATGAAAATTTTGATATGCTTTCTTAGTGTATTTATTGTAGCACAGACTATTGGGACTGCACTGTTTTGCTTATATTTTCACATGCAGTTGGACAAGGTAAGATTAGTAGTAAGACTGTGTTAACTGGACCAGTACTAAAATGATTTACTTTCAGCACAGAGAAAACTGTTGAACAAAGATGAATAATGATGCAAAAGCTGTTAATAATTTTCTTATATAGAAGTGGCATGTATTACATACATTTTCTTGTTTGGGTCTTAATCTGCCACTTACTGAAGAAAAAATATATGTTTAAATTATATAAAGTTCACAGACTTAAATATTTGTACAGAAGATATATTTTGCTAATGAATCATGCAATTAATAAAAGAATTCTGGATCAGCAAAGCGAAGTGTAAATTATATCAAAACAAATGTATTTGATCAGGTTAAATTCAGAGATGACAGAAAGTATTGCGTTCAAGTCAGTGTGAACACCGTGAATGATGATTCCATGCTCTTTGGGAGTAAATGGATACCTTTTAATTTGTGATAGTATTTAAGACCCAGTTGTATTATGATTTATAGTGACACTTAGAAAGAGAGAGTAATGCCAAAAGTGAATTTTTATGTAAAAGTTTTAGAGTCAGTTTCACTTTACAAATCTTCTTTATACATTAAGAAAAAAAGAGTAGACTTATTTTTAAATAGACACAATCCAAATGGTTTTGCCTTATGCTTCTGAGAATGTTTATTAAAGAATTTGAAATGTAAAAGCTGTTTTCAATGTTGCTGTTGCTCCAGTGGTGGATAAGCCCTCTAACGCCACTCTATTTAAAACTAAGTTTTACTCAAACAACAGCGAAGAGATATAGCAGGAAAGCCAATTAAAATATATATATAGAATCAAATGTGTTCAACTTAAACAGTGCAAAAGAATGTTTTTCTTAGTGAAATGTAAAAAAATTATCATTTTAGGTTCACATTCATAATTGAAATGTTAATGTGTGGAGTATTCAGTTTGCATGTATGTGAAGTGTAGAACTGGGCTTCAAAAGTGTAAGTGCGAATGGGGTGTTAGTTATAGCTGTGTTGGTCTAAGGATACAGGCAAACAGGTTATTTGGATAAATGTGACATCTTTTATATTATATCTTTTATTAGACCAATAGTTGGTGTTAGAAGATATCACATTTGCCCAAAGAACCTTGTCTGCCTAAGTGCAACCGGGGAATTAGTCTGTGAGAATCACAGTGGTACAACGTTCATACCGGTTTGCAAAATCCTTGTTCTCCTCCAGTTGCACCTTTCTGCCATTTGGCACTACCAGTAGTATATCTACGGGGGTGTCCAGGTCACCATCCCTGGGTGCTGACTGGAGGGGTGAGGGACAAAAAAAGAGCAACTATTATGCTTCTGGCCTCACTGTTGGCAGCTCCATGTGCCATCACCATCTATAGGGCACTAAATAGCCATTACACCTGCAGACACGATTCCAAGTGAGCGCAGGAGTCAAAGTCTGTCCAGTGGATGGAATGACTGGTTACTGCTGCAGCAATGGAAAATGTCACTTTCCCAAAATTAACAGCATCAACTGGTTTGGTTTTAAAGAAGATGATAATTTGAGGTTGTAAGAAGTTTTTGGCTTTTTAAAAATCTGACTACCATTTTACTGTGAACAGCCTGACCTGTAGACTCTCCACTGATGCAGACCTTAGGGAACCTGCTTGGTTTTCAGCAGTTTTAACCCCATGTTTTAAAATTAAATTTTGTGATTTTTTGGGACAAAAAAGTTTCAAAATGAAAACTCATTAAAGTTTAGTTTCTAAACATTCTGAAGAAATGATAGAGCTTCCATTTTTTCACATTTTTTGTCTGAAGCTATTACCGAATTTGACAGCAGTTCACAATTAATTTCGGTCTCCTCAAAACCATATTTTTTGGCAAATAAACTCTCCACTAAAAAGAATTTGCCCTGTCCTGGTTATGAGCAGCATCTTTGATTTCACTGGGACAAACTAATTAGAGCAGGTACAGATCCACGTGAGTACCGGCCACAGATCAAGCCCTTAATGACTGGTCCAGATTTCTGAGCCGATATCTGTTGTCAAGGTGATGCATGTCCTACCTTTTCAAAGGGGGGAGGAGTGGAATGTAATGTGAATTAATACTAAAGACCTGACAGTAGGTTTCACTTGTTGTTGCACAGTTCAGGTAGAAATATGTTGTGAGGTTTAGCCTCCCAGATGTGATGCGAGCAAAATTCCCATTGAAGTGCAAGAGAACTTTGTCTGGGTCTGGACGTCAAGTCATCAAGAGATGTGGGATGGGGGGCTTACCCATTTGTGAATTATCATTTCAGAATAAGGTTTGCCTGTTTTGCTTTGTCACCTGGCCACTCTCCCACTAGCATTCCTTTTACCCTTTCTGTCATCTCGCTTGCAGCTGAAAGATGGGATGAGCTTAAATGAAGATTTCTTATTCCTGAGAAGATTACACGAATGTCAGAAACCAGAAGGTGTGGAATCTTCATTACTGGACTGTAAGAAGATTACAGACAGGTTGAAGCATCTGCTAATGAAGGTAAGAGGCTGGGTCTACACAGGTGCACACACCCGTACACAGTCTTACAAGCTTTATTTAAAAAGCAACTTTGGTGTGCTTTTCCATCCTAGGCCAGATTTCAGTCTTAGTTAAAGGGAAGTTAAATGGAGACTAACTCCTTTGAAGTCAATGGAATTGCTTTTTTGCAACTGTCGCTAGAATCTGGAAGCCTGATCCTGCCAGCACAACCGCTACCAATCACACGGTAGAAACAAAGGTATAAGGAAATGCTTGTTTGCACTGGAGCTCAGGAAGTAGCATAACTGAGGGGAAGCAAGCAGGGCAGCAGCCCTGGGTGCCGCTTTTGTGAGGGGGTGCAAAAGCAGCAGTTGCCACAGCAGCGTGTGATTGCGCAGCTGCATTCAGCAGAGCGGGAGCTGGTGCTGCCCAGCGTCTGAGCTCAGGCACTTTCTCTTTAGAACCGAAGCTCCAGAAGGCTGGACTCCGTGTCTCTGATATTAAATATCATGCACAGAAAGCCAAAACACCTAACGCATCATAATTATCATCATGCAGCAAGATAAGTTATCTATTACGATATCTATAATGCATCATCCTAAAAAGCATAGATGATAAGATTCTAGGTCACTGTGAACCCATTTTCACAACATTTTCTCTTTTCAAAGATTAAAACAAGTTATATCATATAACAAAAATCTCTTTGTTTAACAAACAAGGCCTGAGTTCTTCAAAGAGTACACAGGGCTTTGATGACAACTTCTATTGGCTTCTGGGGAGAGCAATAGAGAGAAATGAAGCTGACTTGCAGTTTGTACACCAAACTGGAGAGCAAGCTCCCTGTGTGGACTGATGGCAGGATCTGGCCCTGTGACTAATCAGTAACCCCAAAAGACTGATTCTCTGATGTATGCCACCTTGCAAAATCTGACACCTCTACACAGTGGGTGTCAAATGCTAACTGGTTTGATATTAGATAGGATTTTTACACCCACTTTGCCCAAATGTCAAAGAGTATGTGGGTTGTAAGGCATGGTAGAGTCAGGCCTGGATGCTGTGGTCATAGTGAGGGCAGAGGTGCAGCATCTCTTAACAGCTTGAAAAGACAATGTGCTCTGCAAATACAGGAGGAACAGAAGGCAGCAGCTCCTCCAGGTGCAAGGAAACAGAGCACAAGCTGCATGAGAAAATACAATCTGACACAGGCTCTTGGTTTCACATAGTCCTAGGCTTGCATCAGAAAGTGTAGCACCATTACTTCTAATCAGCATTCCACGGACAGGTTTGAGCTATCTTGTGGCACCAAATGGCTCATAATCGCTGCAAGGATGTGCTTCATCAGATAGTAGTTTGTTGCGTTTTTTAAAAAAAGGGACTTACATGAGCTCTTATGCAAAGATCATGAACTCAAGTTCACCAGTGAGTTCAATCTCAGTATTCTCTGTGACTGAAGACAGCCAAACCTAAATTGGTGTCAAACCTGGGAGAAGGAGCCCTCAATCTCTGTGTCCCTTGGAATTATTTATCATGATGTTTATTGTACTCAAGATATCTGGTGTTTTGATATTCTTGTCTGACTTAAGTGAAAATCCTTGGGGTATGCACCCCCGAGGACCTGACCTAACCTCCATCAAAGTCAGTGGGAGTCATTCTTAAAGCTTTGGATCAGAGTCTAGCTGATGAGGTCTATTGTTACTGAACTTGGCCAGCCTCTACAAGTTCCTAATACCCTCTTGGTGTGTAAGAAATGATGGAGTCTGGCATTGCAACAATGTGCACTGGCCTTCCAGAAAAGCTTTGGTCTGATGATGCACATTTTTTAATTGCCCTGAATACTCTTTTCATATATATATATTTCTTTTTGGTTTGCAAATAAACTTTTTCAGTCAGAGCATCTTAATTGTGGAAAACGTGACATCAAAGACTCTTTAAACTGCAGGCTACAAATGGAAAGTCAAAACTCTGCTGTGCGTATGATATTATCAAAGCTATTTTCACAAGTTATGTAGTTATACGTGCCCTGTAACTAAGAGCTTGGGGCCAAACTGTGCCTTCGTTTATACCTGCTGAGCTGTGTGTGTCTGCACTGGAAGAAATGAGGGCAGGCAGAATTAGATCTTAAATAACTGCTCTACCAAAGCAATGAAGATGAGTTCCTGCATTGCAGGAAAGAAAAGATTTCAGCATATGAGATATGAAAATGGGAACGCACTCATTTGCTTTCTTCTCTCTCAAATATTTAACTTCGACCTGTACCACAGAAACACTGAAAGTGTATGTAGGTACCAGAATGAGCAGAGAGGATTATGTGCAGTAAAAATGTTTATCAAATCCTTTTATTTAGAGCTTGTCAAGCTATAATAAGCTTTTATAATGTCAGTCACTTTCAATGGATCGGTATTGGAATCACAGGCATTGCACTACATCTCCGTGTATGATGACTTTCCTTACATGGTAACTGATAACTCTAAGGCTGGCATTATGATACCTGTGATTATGATACAGGCAGTGCACGATGACACGTGTGAGGTACAGAACATTACTTAAACATTGAGTTTTCAATCAGTGAATCTCTGAATAACATCTTTTCTACTATCCTTGTTTTAGGAGGACAACATCAAAAAAGACACTGAAACATTTGAAAAGCTGAAAGGTATGTTCTAGATGTTTGGGGCAAACTTTTTGCTACTGGGGAATTAAATCAGTCCGGAGACATACTTTTCTTTGCATCATTGCAAACCAAGGGGGCTGCACAGGGAACTACATAATGAGATATGCTGCATTTGGGGCCTGACCTTGGCAAAAAGCACATTGATCAGCCTTTGGTTTCTAATGGTATTTTAAAGGTCCAGAGTCCATATCTTAATGCCTTTGTCAACTGTTAGCTTTCATGTGTCATTTGAAACAAGGTTAGAGGTTTTGCTTTGCTTATTGCCTAGGTTTTTCAGAGCTATTGTGGCATGATGACAGGAGGTAGAAGAATATCTGACAATAGTCTGGAGAAGGATAAAATATCAGAGGAATAAAAGAGCATGTACAGAAACCTGCCAAGTGGGGAATTGCTAGGTCTACTATCATATAAGCCAGTAATGAACACTGTAGTGTTTGCCTGAGTGACTGGCATCTAGGTCTGAGCAGACAGGTTAAGTCAGCACAGGTGTGAACAGCCACATGTAAAGGCATATTCGAGTTAGTTTCTCCACCGGTGCTACCCCTGCCTGTGACACTAAAACTTCTGGCAGCAAGTCTCACAGTTCTTTGTGTTGCAGTAAGCTGAGCTGGGCTGTGATCCTCATCTAGTGAAACATGGGAGAATGTGTTTGTCCTTCTGGTCACACAAGAGAGGAGTAGTGTGGGATTATCCACAAATGAGTGGATTTAGTTTATGCCCTCACTGCAAAGGGGTGGGATTTGACCCTCAGGGAAAGTAGAACCTCTAACCCATGTCCTAAGCAGAGTTAACTAGCTTTGAATGAAAGTACTCATAAACTCAGGAGAGAAGGGGTTTTACGTGTAGTTGGGAATGCAGCTAGGGCTAATATCCAAGAAAAATCCTGGGCTAACTTTGCAGTGAAGACATATCCAGCCACCCTTATCTTGAGATGAACATATTCCAGCCTAGCCACAGCAGAAGACAGCACCCCACCTTTGAGTGGGATCAGTTTCAATTCCTCTGCTGTCATCCACCTGGGATCAATCTGGCAATTTATCTTCCTCAGCCTTAATCTTCATGGCTCTCTGAAGTCAGGAACATTGTTATTTAAGACCTTTTGTCCTACCTTGCATTTGAAATTTGCTGAGACCTCTCCACTGCCAATGTCTAGAAGACATCCTTCAGATGCCTGCAGCAGGACATTCTCTGTTAAAAGTCCCCATTTTTGTGTGCCTGTCAGAGCATGAGTTTGCATTCAAATGCATGCTGCTCCATCAGATTAGCTCTGGTCCTGCAGGGATCTGCTTACTGCAGCATGCGAGACTTGGCTTGTGTTGGATTTATCAGGGCAATGTCAGGGATAAGATATTTTTAAATCAGTTCTGGCCCTTGCATCCGTTAACATAATTATAGTGCAATACAGCATTTAGTGTGGTCTCGGGTAGAGAACAAGAATTAAAACATCAATTAATCACTGGTTTTGTTTAGTTGCAGATGTCAGGAGGCACCCAGTTGCAGCTCACCTGGCAGGAATTAAGAAGGGCAACAAATCAGTACCAGGTAAGAAAGCTTCCTTCTCAGATCACATTCACAAATGGGATCATGTATTATATAAATAATGCCATCATGGAGTTTAGTAACACCAAAAACCAAACCTGACAATGGACATTTTTGCTTTTCTCAAGGCTAGTGTTCTGTTCTTAAGCATATATTTCCTAGAAATAAAAAACAGTGCCTGATTTTTAAGGTATGTTTTTAGTGAAATGAAAAAGGTTTAGTTTTTTTCCCCTAATGGAACCAATCTTTCATCTCCCAGCTAAAGTCAAAGGAAGATAAATTGAATCTTGCAATCCTATAACACTCAGGGGTCCTGTTGCAGTTCATACTTTAAAGGGATGCAGGATGGACTGGCTGTAGAGAAGTGTGTGAGAGAGAGCTGTGGGTGTAATTTTCCTAAAGCTATTTTTGTTTCCCTTTTTAGAAGAAAACCTGCCATGGGCAGAGTGGCATTACTGTAGAATTGCCTCTCTCAGCTGTGGGAGAAAAGGTTCAAAACTGCTTAAGTAAAGGGGGGATGGGTAATATGAATCATCATATGCAGACTTCAAAGGAGCTTATGCTGAAGTACAAGAGAAAAATATTAATATCCTGCAAACCCTTAGTCACAGGTCAGCTCTTGTAGACCCTGAATGGCTTCAAGAGATATCTTTATGCTAACCTTGTCTCCTAAAATTTCCCAGTAGTAGTAGCAACAGTTAAGAGTATTGATTAGACCAAGCTGTGTTGGCTGGTGACTTTGTCATCACTGTACCTATAGATCACCATATAAATCATGATTGCTTGGGGCAGGGCTCAACTGTCTTTTGAAACCACTCAGCTGGGACCATTTTCATTGCCATTTTAGCTGCTTTCACACTAGCCATAAGTTAATTTCCTAGTGTGTCCCTGACCAAGGTGACACCCTGCAAATGGAAAAAAAAAAAGGAATTACTCAAATGAGTAAGAGCTTGAAGATGATACCCTCAATCTTGTAAAGATCTCCCCACTTGGGCCTATTTTAATTGACTCTGGAGCAAATACCAGTAAATAGCATTGCTCTTTCCATCTGTGATGCTGCAACTTTCTCAGGTTTCAGCTTACCTCAGAGCTCAGCAGCACATGTGGAAAACTTAGATAAAATCGCAGAAGTAAGAAAGTCACTGCATGAATGTGCTCCTTAGTGAGATATTTTGTTGAGATTAGAATGCAAAGTGAAAACTCATGTAAATTAAATGGTATCCTGGACAGTGGGGGAGAAAAGAAAACCATCCACTGTCCTAGAAATACATATGCTTAACTATTCCTTCAATAGTGGATCTTCTTAGGAAGTGATGATGTCCCCAGCCAGCTACCATTGAAATGAATAGGATTTCAGTGAGGGTAGGGTTGGATAATTGTGTATTACTGTCAGAGCCCAGAGTTCATTCCCTTGAGTATTTAATGCTCTGCCTTGCCCATCTAGCTTCAGGACCTGCCATTTGACATATAGCACACACAAAACAACCCAGCCTGGCACGCAGCAGAGATTGGTAGTGGAGGTTTGTGTTTTGCCACAAGACCATTTATGTTTTGTGTGTTGTCAAGCTCTGAGGCACTCGCTGCAAATATAGATTGAAACTTCCAGCCACTTTATTTTTATACATCCTCACTTCATTTTCACCTCCTTTGGCGACTGGAGGAGCACAAGTGCAGGAGGAGCACGATAGCGAGCACCGCTCACGTGCCAGAAACAGATAAAAGTACTGGGTTGAAGAACCCACATTTTTAATATGAAATCATCATTCATTACAGAGAGGTCCTGATGGCCCTGAGTCAGACCAGTATGCAGCTCCTGTACAAGGCAGTGAGAGTTGTGTTTCAGTATCTGCAATACACCTTGAACTGTGTGGGCTTCAAAGAACCCATGCCTACTTATGCTAACCTGGTTTTTTGTATTTACTATTTGCAAGGATATTATAGCATGTGTGACGGTGGTGAAATACAGTGCCACCTGGTCAATTAGAGGGAGCAG